TCCAAAGCTACATATTAGTTTTTGTGGTACACAATATTTCCAACTTTACATCTTTATGTTTGTTTGATATGAATTAATTTCCAATCATACAGAGAGGATTTATTAAACGAAAAATAATGAAAGTTTTTTATCATAAAAGTAAAGATAAAAATATTTTTTAACTATATTAAAATAGAAAAGAAAATGATCAAAATGCACCGCAACGAATGAAACGCATAACAGAAAAGTGTACTTTTATACTGCTAAAAAATTTTTTCTAAAAAGTATTGGTTTGTTCTCGCTGTAAATATCAATGAAAATATATTTTTGTAGAGGATGAAAACACCGAAGACAAATGATGAATGAAGTGGTGCACATACGTTTCGCACACATGATATGAATTAGTTTAAAATGATAAAATAATCATTATTTCATCACTACTGCTGACCCATCTCACTGTAAATACCTGTGAACGGTCATAAAATAAGCACAGTATAACTGTTCCTATATTCAAATGTCTATCTTTTCTAGAAGGAAAGCCTACAAAGGAAAGTCAAGAAAAAGTGCAAACATTTAGAGTACTCTTTCTAGTCACTGCACTCATCCATAGATTTACGGATATTTTTAATGCCTCATTCCAAAAGTGTTCTTGTGTCAGCCCGCCTAAAATTACGCAACCAATGTGACCCAAAAAAATTCATCCAACATTATGATATGTGGTAAACAACCAACAAAATGGTACACATTTATATATCAAAAACAAAATATCCAATGAAGGAAGACGGAGACATACCGATTGCATCATAAAACTCCTTCATATTCCTCCAACTTAGTTACCGTTGTGGAAGTGAAAATAGAATAGATCAACAGAATTATTAAATGAGAATAGCAATGTTAACATTGAATTTGGTTAGAAGAGCTGACGTAAGATTGTTCTGATGCAAGAAGGGGAGAGAGCAATTTGTACGAGAAAGACTTATGCAGGACAATCAACAACAATGCTTTCATATGAATAATTTTACACTAACCTGGCTTTGATAGAAAATTTCAGTGATAAAAAGCGTCAGCAATTTTAAATTTCATTAAACTTCAATAAAGTCCAGGAATTTTTTGAAATAAAACGTGGTAAGCCTTGTTTTGTCAACAAAGAATACAGTTTTGTGTTATATTATAATTTATAAAACAAAAATATTATTCGAAGGTCAATCTTATCTCTCACAGTACTGGCTTCCTCATTTTTCATCTCAATACTACTAATTCGCTTTACTTGCAGAACATGTAAGTACAACATTGAAGATTAGTTTCTATTACTGTATACAATAGGCAACATGCCCAATGAGCTTAAATTCTGCATAATTTCCATCATTTTTTTGTGCTTTCAAGAAAAATTTCATGTCTGAAGGACTCTTAGCGCCTTAAGACCGGTGAAAATTGAGAAAACAGAGTTGGGCAAAAAGAGTTGGGCAAAAAGACAGAGTTGGGCAAAAAATAAAGCCTAAAACTATTTTTCCAAAACTTAGAAGTGCCTTTTTCGAAAGGAGAATTTTCGACCACTCATAGTATAACTTTGATAATGGTAAAGTGATGATTGATGAAAGTTTAAGCTTTGTTCATTTAAATTGTCCATTGGAAATTTTTAATTTTAGATGATTAAGTTAAAAATTTTGATGCTTGAAAATAATCCACTTGCACAAGTTTGCATTACCTTTAATGCGATTTAGAGTCAGACATTTTTCGCATATTTGCAAATCCAAATCAATGCATTTCTGCTGATTTCGACAATGGTCAGCATTATAAACCATATATACCTCATCTGATCTGCTAAATAAATTCATTAGTTTGGATACACTGCTGTTGTTATATATCTTCCCAGTGTCAAATTTCACCTAAAGCCGTTTTTTTTAAACTTATAGTTTTGATGATATCTGTAACTTTGTATTTTAATATGTGTTTTTAGTTTATAAAGTGCAAAAACAAAATCTCATACAAAATCGTGCGTCTCATTTGAATGGGATCACTGGCGACCATGTTTCTCACACATAAAATATCAGATTGAGTAGAACTATCGTATGAAGCAAATTGTTGATATGTTTATCTCTAGTGCTTTAAATTAAGCATGCTTCTTTTCTTTCGGAAACTTAGTCAATTTTAAATTGATTTTCTCTATTTAATTCAATTTTTTCCAACCTCATAAAATCGATTTGTCAGTGTGACCAGTCAAAATCAATCCACCGTCTCAACCAGTCCAAGCTTCAATTAGACAGCAGATCTTGTTTTGCCGATATAGTTTGTTTGTTTGTTTTTTATTCCTGAAGCAGTAGAATTCTCGTATTATTCCATTCAAGTGTAACAGCTCTTTATATTATATCAGTGTGAATTACATTCTCTGAAAACATATTCATTAAGAGTTTAATTTGCATAACAAATAATCGAAAAGTGACGAAAAATATATAGTTGTAAGATGGAATATGAAAAGAATTAAAAATAAGAAAATGCATAAATACTATGAAAAATAGGGCGTCTCTCTGCTCTTCCATTATCGTACAAGTTTCGATTTTGATGTTATCTCATCAATAAGCATTAATTATAGTTAAAAAGTCGCTTTTACTCCGTGAATAACAGAAAGCTTTTTGCCTTTATCACAGTTCAGCAATAATCAGTATTTCTTGTTTCCTCTTTGTCCATCCAATACAATATTAAAATTGCCAGACCAAATGTAATGGAGTTTTTACTGAAGCTGAAAATGTATTCGACATATTCCTCATTATCGTTCATTCTCCTCTCTGTCTTTTCTCACTCGTCTCTCCCTCTTTCCCTCCTCTTCGTTGGTTTCTTTTTTCTTTGTAAACAATGATAATTGATATGGACGAGTTACGAGTAATACATTATTATACGCTCTTCTGGCATGGTGCCGTCATATTTACGCGAAGCTGCTATAGCCATGAAATAACAGTTATTTGCTGTGATTTTTGTGCGCTGTCATGGGGGAAATATATGAGACATTTCATATAAGGCGAATTATTGATTAATATTTCATTATTGATTTTTTTCAAGTTTCTCACGGAATGAGCAGTACAATAATAAAGGATGAAAATAGAAGATGAAACAAACGTTACAGAAATCGATTACGTTTAATACAATTCATGTCATTTCATGTTGTTTCATTGTTTCATATCGTTCGTTATCAGTGTAACTTCTTACATTCAGCAGTTTATCAAATTTACATTTGAATAGATAAATGAAATGGGAATCTCGTTGAAATAGTCAACATGCAAATAAATGAAAAGGAAAGGACTAACTTCCAAGTAAAATGATGCCTTATGATGAACGTTGATCTGTCATCTCAGTTCTTTCATTTACTAAAACAAACGTTAAGATTGAGGAAAGTATAGTAATAATTCAAGAATGAATATTTTCTTTCTTACTGCTATTCGAGTATTTTACATTATCAGTGTTTACAGACGATATAAGCTAGAATTTACAAGTGGTCAGCGGTCATCAGTACATTGATAGTTGACAACTGTGGAGCTAATTAACAATCTTACGAAAGCGACAGAAATAAGAGTTTTAAGAGTTTTTGGCCAAAAAGTATAATTGTTCTTGCTGCTGATTAGGATGACATACAATTATGATACTGCGACTGAAGCATATAAGCAGATAAACAACCATAACACTATTTGTGTTGTAACACTGTGATAAAGAGTCAGTTGAAACGATTAGTTAAAAGATCCCCAAATGAAACAGGCTGACGGATAACACCGATATTGCATATCAGAATATGATAAGCCTGCATTATGTATAGTTTAACGCGACAGTTGAATAACGATTTTGATAATTTTTAGAAGCATCAACCAAAATGTATCTCCAACGTTTAAAAAATCTCGGAAACAATCCAAACTGTCATCGATGAAAACTGCATGGATATACTGTGCTTTAGGATACATTCAATCAATAAAGCATCTTATATACGCACGAGAGAAAAGCTATGTGGAGCCGCTCAAATGAATACAATTCCGTCTGTTAATGGCGAAGTCACCAAGTCCTGGAACTTCTAGTAAATTAAGGCTTTTCAATTGGGACAAAGATCAGCTATTCATTAATTTTCAGATTTAAATTAAACAATATTCTTTATCATTTTTTTTCATCTAATTCAGATATAATCCGATTTTGCTGTAACAATGAGGTTGACTCTAATGCACATCCTTACCACCCGATTTGTTTATTTTTCTTTATAAACTTTTAAACAAATAGCACTTACCAAAGACCAGCCGATGAACAAAAGGACGTGGAAATAACGGGATTTATTAATTTGGTTGTTTGTGAGCCAAAATGAATTAAGCTCAATTAAACTAAGCGAAATGAACTTAATCCATTCAATCAGTACATCAAATTGAAGCATAACGAATCCATGAATTTGAATTGCAACTGAACTGGAGTTATGAAATACAAGAAAAATTAGCAAATGATTTTTTATTCATTTGCGCAGAATTAGACTTCATGACAAAGTTATTTGAATTTCAGTCAGTTTACATGTCTAAAATAATTGTAAAGTGAACCCCGAAGTTCAATTTCTGAGAGGAAACCAAAACTTCCGTCCATTCAATATATGTAAATTTTAAAACTCACAATAGAGAAATTTGCATATTGATGTATTTTAGTATAACAAAATCGATTTTTTGACGGTATAAAACGAAGCAATTTCCATCGATTATTTATATTCATTGCGAAATTCGGTAGCGATCGGTTGTCTTACTTTTGACGCGCCATTGCTTGAAGACATCCAAACGAGATAAAGTATGTAATTCCTTTGTTTATTGGTTTTAATAAAGGAAGGGGACCAAAGTGATAGATCAGTCGAAGGAAAAGTTCACTTCCAAATATTCCCCGAGTTTTTTACATTACGTGAAGCTGCAAATAAAACAACGAAGCTCACTTTATTCCGTGTCCTTGATAACAATCTCAATCGTAATGGGGCCGCGTTCAGCAGGGCTTCTTCCTAAAAACAGGTGGTGTACTTGTGAATGTCACTGGAAAGCGATCTCAAAAGGACTACAGGATTTGTCGAGCTGCGGTGTTTTCGGTCACTTTTTGGTGTAACGTTATGTGATGGTACACTTCTTAATTTCTGAAGTAGCTTTTAACAGATTCATTTTAAGGTTTTTACTCAATTTATTCAGCATATGACTGATTATTTATTACAGTTTTTAGTTTTATAAAGCATTCAACAAATCAATTAATTAATCCTACACTATATGGCTTTAATTGACCTCAGATTCTTGAAAAATGCATAATTAGTAGTATTTTGTGTAATTTCCTTTAATAAGTCCAATGGATAATATACAAATTGCTATTTGGTGCGGATACTTTGACTGAGAGCCTCATCTTAGATGTGCCAATAACAAATACTTAATTTGCATATTTGCAGTTGCTGAATTACTGCCATATATAGCTTCCAGTCTATAAAATTGTTTTTGTGAATCATTACTGGTTGTTTATTGCAGTTCATTTTCAGATGCGCAAACAAATGAATACTTTGGGACAGAAACATGAATGGAATAGTGCCTTAGCGAAGGAAGAAGCAGAAACAGTAGCTGCAAATTCAACTGTTGTACCAGCTTATTTATTTTCTCGGTATACAACTTATGATTTGTAATTTTTCTATCAATACTTTTTACTTTTATCGTTATTAACAATGATTTTTTTTTGCAGTGAGAGGCAGAAAGTGAGATCTTGCTATGAAACGAGTCCTTCGGGATTGGTAGGTCAAAAAATCACTCTGGAAAAGCGTTATTTTGAGCCCACTATCGAGAAGAATTTTAAACATCCTCCTCTTGAAAAAGTAAGTCGAGGATTTTTAAAAACTTTTTTTTCCACGAAGTGAGCGTCTAAATTGTTGTTTAAAGTCCTATCTTAACAGTAAATTACTTTTCTCACTAATCATTATATATATAGTTTGACATATCATTATAGTAGTTTCATGTTTTTTAAACACTTTAAGCAGGCTGGAAATCGCATACGGAGTGTCAGTTTTTCGTTCAAAGTGTCTAATACGCGTTGCATAAAGGACGAGTTAATTATGAGTTCAGTGAGAAGAAACTATAGTGACACAGATTTAAAGCCATGTATCAGGTCGTCATTTTACTTATAATCTTTATTTCGTAATGTATTACGACTAAATTTTAAGCTCATTAAACTTTTAAACAGTTTTTGCAAAATATTTCATTGCAGAATATTAATCGTTCTTTGTATTTCAGAATATTAATTGGACTGAAATAGCTGCCAGTTAATATTCTGAAATATCTTATAATTTTTGCAATGATTTTTGATTGTAGAACGATTATTCGAGGTGGGAGTTCATCGGATTTGCTAGAGAAAGCTGGATTAGAAAGAACAAAAGCAACGTTGATATCGAAACTTGCATCTGACGATAGTTCAACGCAAGATTCATCCAGTGAAAAAAATCCAAATACATCTGAATGCATTCTAAAGTCCGATTTCCATTTATCATGTTCATCGGATCCAAAGAAAAGAAAACTTGAAGGTAAAGGTGATGCAGAACTACCTATCCAGTTGAACCACCTATCTATTCCGTTCATTTATATTTATTATTAGCAGCATTTGATTATTTTGCGCGGCGAACGTGTTGGTTGGTGCTTGACTTGTCCCTAGACCCAATAGTACTCAGGTATATTAAATGAAATTTAACTCAGATACATTAAATAAAAATCGCTTGATGATAGTTACTTCTACTTATTTCTTCCAGTCATCGATAAATGGTGAGCGCGTCTTTGACAGACATGAAACTTTCAAAATATATCTCCTGAAACTAAGTCCTTGTTAGCATCACATCATTGGTTCAGAATTGATCTTTTAAGATGTCTGTAGATATTATCTGTTGATGATTTGTGATAGATATGATGCAGTTTTGTTTGCTCAATTAATTATATTTAAAATTTTTTTTATTTTCTACAAGCTGCTTCATTCAAATTTCAGAGTTCTCTCTTGCATGTAAAATATTACAGTGTTATTAACAGGAAAAATAATTTCTGCTACACCATCCCTTACTGCGAGCGACAAAGTCACTAGAAATGGAAATAAGTGTTTGCCCAGAGTGATCCGTCCATCGTATCTTTCCACAGCATTGAACCGTAAATCTGAGTATGCAATAATATATTTTTTTAATAGAGTCATAATTTTTAGAAAGTTGGCATGTTAGTATTTATAATTGAAAGAAGTGCGATTTTTTACCTTTAAAAAATTAATCAAAACCAACGTCAGTATTAGCAGTGGAGCTGTGCGACACAGTGATCCAGTTAGCTCTAAATTACCTTTGGTAATTTAAAGATTCTAGCCCTTTTTTTGAGGGCGAGGCTGAGTCTTGAGATTGGTGCCATTGGTTTTGATTAACTTATTGGAGCGTTTCATAGATAATTTAGGTGGGAAAAAGTGGCAATAAGAACCAGATCCGCATTTTTGAAACAGCGAAGCCAGAAAATGTTGAAAGAGCGTTTGAAAAAATACCGTCTAACGACACCGAAGTCACATGTGGACAATGGCGAAAAGTTATCTGCAAACAAAGCAACACCAGTAGCTTCGTATTTGGCGGTCGAAGAGGTCCCAGCAAAATTTAATCAAAGTATGTTTTAATTTAATTGATCTGTTTCCCAATATGATCAACTTTTGATTTGTAAATTATTGTTAAGCGTTTTGGGAAGGGTTGTATACACTCACTGATTACCAGGTAAATAAAATAATCATAAATAAAAGATATGTTACAAATCCTTCGTTACATTATTTACCTTGCAGAACTTTTCTTTGCTTCAATTTATTATTTTCTTTCGTTTTCGTGACATCTTTGTTTCGATTATCTTCTCAAAACTCGGTATTCCGTTGCTAAATCTGCTGTCTTTTCAAATTTTTTTGATCTCCTCTCGAGTGATCTCAATAAGAAAGAAGTTGAACAAAGCGGAACTTCATGCGGAAGTAGTGAGAGTAAGGTATTGGTGGAGAAAAGCACGCTTTTAAAAAAAAGTTTGAATCACGGAATTTCTGAGTCTGGCATACAGGTAAATGAACTTTTCGTTGTAATATAGTAACCGTATCTCTATGTGTTAATTCAAATTCATTTATTCCCAGCTTCTCAGTGCTCTAAATAATATTAAAAATAAATCCTAAGTCAGCATAGCATGGGAGATTCTTAAAAAGAGAAATGAAATGTAAAATTTTGAAACAAAAAACTAAGGCATTCTAACATTGCCGTTGTCTCGTTTCACTTATTAGAAGCCCATTAATTTTTCATCGTAATAGCATGTAATATGGGTAGTTGCGATAAAATCAGCAAATCATTGTAAGATATGATTTTGTGCTAACTTAAAGACGTGGGTTAATATTTAGATATTTCAGAATACAAATAAAATTCCATTCTCTTCGCCAGTTGAAAGTCTACCGCTTGACGCTGTTAACAAAAACAGTCGGGAAGTTGTGAGTAACAAAGGCAACGGTAATTTGTTAAGTACTTATCAAATTTAGGGTGTTAGCGTAAGCTTTATTTTTTATACACATTTTACAAGCAGAAAATAGTAATTTACAAAATTTTGCATCTCGAAACATTTGCGTTTTCTCCTTACTGCAGTGCTGCCCAGTGTGATGTCGTAAATTGATCTTGCAATCAGATCATTCGCTTTCCTCACGCTTGTAAAAACAAAATTTTCCACGTTTAATTTTTTTTTTCAGAAATAACTTACCAAATGATTGTCGAGCTTATTTCATATCTGTTTGTTTTTATATTGTCGAAATCTTATTATAAATCTTTGTTGTACACATCAAATTACTGTTTACAGTGAAGGAATTGTCAGTTGATAGTGACATTAAGGATGATAGTGACATTGCGGAGATAGAAGTGAAGAGAGAAGTGGAATTATTGGTACAAAAAGCATTGCTTCAGACAGCTTCGAGCTCCCATCATCGTCCTAATCAGGTAGGTCATTGTTTCTCCGTCATCAAAGTAGCATAATTTTTTTTCATAAAATCACTCATTTAAAGTTTATGATAACCTAAACATATACGCCATTAAGCGAGACGTGAATATAATTATTTTTGTAGCTTTATTTGCCTAAGCACTCTGTGATCACGGATAAATCAAGTGTATCACCAATCAATTTTTGCACCAAAATCATTTTGTAATGTGCAATCCGTAGGTAAAAATGTTCCGTTGTTAAGAGAAGGTTGGAACTTTAAAGACCTTTTAAAACTTACAAAACAAAAAATTGGGCGAAACTGAACTAGTTGAGTACCTTTTGTTTGCAGGGTATTTGGAGAAAAGTAGTTGTAATAAATTGTCGATTCTGACTTCTTAACATCATTACAGGGTTTAGTAGGACCGCGATTTGTTCAGGAGGACGACGATTTAAATGTGACAGAGAATAATGATAAGGTTGTTACAATTACTCCATTTTATTCCATTTTTAATAAATATGCACTAGGACAAATGAACAGTAACACAACGCAAATTTTTTTCTATGTATTGCAGTTAAAGAAAATGTGGGCACTAGTGGCGGAAGAAAGTACATTGACAAACAATTTGAATGATATTACTGCAAAAATGAATAAAATAAAGATGGAATTGTTCACGCTCTCCAATAAATCGTTTCAGGTAACGTTCATGACATTTTCTAAAATCTAACACGTTTTCTGTTATGCGCTCATGTGAACATTCAGTTAACGAAGTATCACTTGTTAAAATTTTCGAAACTCCATATAACTTTATGATATATTACAGATTAAAGACAGATTGGATAAAGTGCGATTGCTCAAAATTCAACTTTTGAATAATTCGTAAGTTTTATCCAAATTTCAAACTGCAGAGGAAAGTGTTGATAGAGTTGATGTCTACTGTGAATTGAACGGATTATGGGCATGTCATTGATATCTTTGATGTCTAAATGTTTGCTTGCAAGTGATTTACAATTTCACCCAAACTTTCGATGTGGTAGTTTAGGTAAAATGGTTCGACAATGTTTTTTTCTCATGGTTATACAGTGCACTGACTTCATTGGAGTACGCAGTGTTTCAACTAAATATAAATCTCTCATTTTAAAGTTTATTTCTGTTTTTCCACAGTTTTTTCGTCGTTTTTCATGTGCAATATATGCGATGTGCGGCACTTTATTCTAGTCATAAGAATTTTTCTGAGGAATGTGAAGATAAATTTTCTATTTTTGTTGTAGAAATATTGTAGCTTTTATGGTGTTCCGGTGTTATTGTGTAGTCTAAGTAAGACGTTTAGGCAATTGATATGGCTAGTTTAATGTGCTGCTTTCCCGTATTTTTCCTTTTTTAAATTATCTTAATGTTCGCATTTACAATCTTTAGGAAGTTCTGGAAATTTACAGCTGTTTGCATCTGATGAAAATTTGAGTGGTGTTGCTATTGCCTGCACTGCTAACGTTATTTTATTGAATGGTTATTGTTTTCTAGTAGGATTAGGATAAACAGTGGCGATGAAAATGTTCGGAAGTGTCGATGTAATCTGAAAAGTAATTGGGGCATGTAACCTTTATTTCTATGAAATATTTTAATTGAATTGTTTTTGTGAATATAAATGATTTTCCGGTTGTGAAAAATATACTGTGATTATAAGGATTTATTTACCCGTTTTTTTTTTTCTATGTGAATAATTCTCCAAAAAACGACAATGAAGTCGTTAATTGTTTGTAAGAATATTATTTTGAACTTTATGATATATTTCATCATGAGCAGATCCGATATCGGAAACCGTTAGTGGGTTAAGAATTGGATTGAACAGCAGTAATAGTCTCATTTATTTCTTGGTACCAGCGAACTGCTTCTTGAAGACAATAGTGATTCATCTTGCACGTGTTTAGATTATTGTTAGTGCAAGCTCATAGACGCTGGACATCAATTAAACGCCGGTCGATTGCACATGTTTCAACGAAATCCAAAACAAATATATGGTACAAAAATAGTGACTTTTAAAGTGTTTGGGTTTAGCGCAGCATATCTTAAAAATATGGACGGTTGTGACATGTTGGCTGATTAAAGCTAATCTCCGTACCATCCAAAACCAAATGAGTAGATTATAGGGGTTAGGTTTCTCGACAGTTGGTACTGTGAGTCTCTTTTAAAGGAACTGATTTTCACTTCTTTGCGTTATAGTCGTTCCACTGCCGGAAGCTGTGTTATACTGAATGAGAGCATATAGTCCTTTACGTTTTTTTTCACCACTTTTTTGGATATTTAAGATTTAGCTTGTAATTTTCCTAATCCTCATCGCGTTACTTTGTTCCAATTTCCTTTACACTGTGTCATTAATATTTTTTCGGATGTGCAGAAGATAAGACAACTTTCAAGGATGTTATCTATAAGATATAAGACCTTCTGTTGAGAGATAGAAAACTATGGATAAGAGATGCACTTTCTAGATGTTAAGGATAATAGTGGTAGAACTATTGATGCCTGTTAGGTAAAAATCGATCGAGCATGCGTTTGCAGGTGGATAGAGAAATAGCGTTTTAAGACATGGATGGCTTTTCCGAAAATTGAGATTCGTTGCAGCGAATCTCAATTTTCGGAAAAGTAGGTCTTTGCAGCGAAGTAAGTCTTTACATATTAGATTGTTGCAGTAGCAAAATCTATTTCAAATATGAAGATAATTCATCAACAAGCCATTCATTGTTGCTGGATCTACATTGGCATAAGAATTTGTTATAATATTGGATATGTTAATACTCTGCTAATACATTCTGATACGCTAATGCTCTTTGAATTATAGCCGAATGCAACCTTATAGTCTGAACATCTCTACTTATACGAATGAACAAATTGTTATAGATCCAGCTTTTTACAAATATTTCTATTTATAGGAAAAATTGAGATGAATGTATCACCTTCGCAGGTCCATCACCTTTGTGGAAGATTGCTTGTATTATATTCAATATTTAATTATTCAGATTAAGTTGGTTACTTCTGTCAAGTATCGAGAATTAGGTGAGCAGGATTTGCATTTCAGAATGGAATTAATTGAATGTTGGCAAGGAGTACTTATGACAGGAAATGCTTTTATAAATAAGCTAACTTTCATATCCAATCGGGTATTGCAAAACAGCTCATATTATTAACCATGTGACATGAATTGTCATAATCAGTAGTTAAATTGTCGATTTTTAATTCATCATAAATTATAATTTTTCAAGGTTTTTAAAAATATGAATAGCAAGTTTTGTTGGCATCAGTAATTTTTTGACTGGAAGGCTAATGAATATATACTGGCGAGGATCCCGGACATTCATTTCTTATCTTAAAATAAGACTTTTTAAAAATCGATTTGCTATATTTTATATTCATAGTATTGGTAGTTATCTATTAAAGTTATTTTGACGTGAACCAGACACCAAAACAAAATTTACATTCAAAAATTAAAGTTAGAAGGTTCCATTATTGCGATTTCTTGTGTGATATGTTGTGTGATAAGCTAATGAATATATACTGGCGAGGATTCCGGACATTCATTTCTTATCTTAAAATAAGACTTTTTAAAAATCGATTTGCTATATTTTATATTCATAGTATTGGTAGTTATCTATTAAAGTTATTTTGACGTGAACCAGACACCAAAACAAAATTTACATTCAAAAATTAAAGTTAGAAGGTTCCATTATTGCGATTTCTTGTGTGATATGTT